TAGGAAGAAAACCGATCTACCAGTCAGGAGCCTTGGATTCTAATCTGTTTGACAGCTAGTTAGCTAGCTCTGTGACCGTCAGCAAGTGCCCTCGAGTAAAATGGGAGGTCATTCCTGTGTTAGAGGCTGTTTTTTTGAGGAATGAAGGATAAAATGGCCCTGAGTATCCCTCCCCAGCTGTGTTAGAAGTTAGCCAATACTAGCTTCTCTAGAGAACTTTTGAACCTTGATTCCTCAAGAGTTCCAGAACATTGTCCATCGCAAGTATCCATCAAGGGAAACAAAAAGTTTCCACAAACTATAGCAAATATGGTCCGTTCTGTATTGTGTCTTAAGGAAGAAAAACTGACCAACAAGAAGAGCGTAGGAGACAAAAGCAGATGAAGGTCCTGAAGAAGGAGCTGCGCCATTTACTCTCCCAGCCCTTGTTCAAAGAGGACGTGAAAACGAAGTATCCAACTCAGTCTGGCAAGCTGCCCATGCTCACGGCTGCCCCAAGAAATGGCGAGTCTGCTTTGAGCTGCCTCGCCAAACAGAAGAAGAAGAAGCCGCCGCCAAAAGAGCAGCAGCAGGAACAAGGTCAGCCGAGTACAAGTGCAGATCAACTAGATTAACTGCCCTCCAGGTCAGTCTGTTAGTGACCGCACGTTGTTTCTGTTCTCTGGTTTTGTGGGTAATCTTCCACTTTGCCTTCACTCCACTGTCAACCCCGGATACAAAAATCCTCTTCCGTACCAGCCCCCGTTGCGAGAGAGACCTCATGCGCATTTGTGTTTTGGAGAAAGAATTCTATGCAGCAGCTTGTTACCTTTCGGTATTCCAGTGTGTATAGGCTTCTTGTATGTTCAGCTTGTTTTTGTTAATTAAAAGTAGTCAGAACCAGCGTGTTATCCAGAGTTTTTAGCTGGAATATAGCTGTCCTGTCCTTTGGTGGCAGGTTGCACATGGGGTTGCACGTAGGGTACATCTTCCCCCATTGGAGAGTGGGGATGGAGCTTTGGGTCTTCGCTTGTGTTCTGCTTTTCTCCACCGTACTCCACTCCACTAAAAGCTCTTTAGCTCTCTGCCGTTCACATTCTCTTGTGTGAGCCACGCTGCGGGGTGGGCAGGGAAGAGGTTGCCGTCCTTGGGTTCAGGAGAACACCGGCTTCCTTACCCTCAGAGCCGTCTGTGGGGAAGCCAGTAACAGTGTGCAGAGTCTGGCATTGTGAAGCACTTGGGATCTGGTGCTAGCCAGTTTCTCCCTTGTCTCCCCTCCCCTCCTCTGCGTCCTGAAGTGGTTGTTATCCACAGTCCCATGTGCTCTTTCTCTTGTCCTGAGTCTTTATACAAGCTTTCCCCTCTGCCTGCTTGCCTTTTTCCCCATCCTTGAGCGCATCTTCCCTAGTTGCCAAGCCCCCAGGAGGGCATCGTGTCCGTAGTAGTTGGGCTTACCCTTGCTGTCGCGCTTGGCAGACTGTGTTGTCTGCTAAGCTCCCTGACAGCATAGGCTGCTTTATTAGCCCTTGCAGCCCTTGGGCTTAGGTCAGGGCATGATGTAAATATGTGCTGAGGGAATCCGTGACCTCCTGGTGTCCCGTCTGCCCCTCCCCCAACCCAGATTTCTCTAGGTACGTCTAGGTGAGTAGCCACAGTTGCTGGAGACGCGTACATTTCTTCACGGCTAAGGCCGGCTGGTCTCAACACAGGTCCCCTTGACTTCATGGTTGGCAGGATGGCAGGATGGCAGTAGTGTTCCCTCAGCCCCTCTGGGTAACTACAGTAGGACAGTTGGACAGAGTCAGCTGTCCTTGAGTGCTGATCAAGTACCAAGCACTGTTAGGCATTTTCATCTGTTTCATCATTTGGTTTCTAACAGGCCTCTGAGATACAAGTCCTGATACCTTTTTGTAGTTGAGAAAGTTGACACTGAGTGATTTAGACTTGGCTCAGATCACAGAGCGGCCAAGTGGCAGGCCTGCGATCAAAACCGTGGGTATTTCCTTGTGGGCATGTTCAGAAAACTGCTTCAGTCTTAAAAGGACAGCAGTGTTGTCAAGGAATGTCTCCCCAGGGTCACCAGTGACCCAGGGAGGAGAATGCAGTAGAAAACAATCCTAGTCTGTGAGATCGTTTCTTGGGTGACAGCTGGTGGAGCTGTGGTGGTAGGGGACTCACCATTACCCAGATGATACAGTGGCAGTTTGAGCAGCCTTCAGGAACCTTGGCAGTACCTGAGTCACGAGAGGCCTGAGGCTACTGATCACAGGCCAGACAGACCCACTGATGTCTGTTGACATGTAGCCCTCGTCCTTTAGCAGCAGATGCTCTTATTTTTTTGCAGGGTAAGTCCTACGTTAAGGAGAGTTAGTTCTAAAGCTAAGGTAGCATTCTTGGCAGTTCTGTTCTTTGACCTGATGATGTAAAGCTTTGGGGAGTCCTGTGGTTTCTTTGGCACCTCCAGCCCAAAGGCAGAAGTTCCCGAGTATCTGGATCTTCCACTAAATGAGAACCCGCGCTCTGCTGATCCACTCATACAGATAAGCCCCATGGGAGAGTGGTGATCTTCAGTGCATGTCAGATACCAAATACTAAGAAACCAGGACAAAGGTTGTCATGGAAACCATTTTAATGCAGGAAAATGTTTCCACCAACCGCCAGGAGAAGCTGTAGGGCCTGCCCATCCCACTCCCCCTCTCCCCACCAGCTGCTCACTGAGCCACAGCTGCTGCCCCCATTTTGCGCAGTGAGAGAACGGTTCTTAGACTTGTCTCATGGGTCCTGACACTTCCCTGTTGGGGAAGCCAGAGTTTCTCCCTGCCAAGGAAGTACCTGCCCGCATTGCAGCAAGTGTTCTGCTTCCCTGCTTGTAGAGCACTGGGTGTCTAGTCTCACACATAATCTTGTTCCACTTTAACCAGTGATCCTGTGCTGCGTAGGTACTGTCTCCATTTCACTGATGTGGGAATTAGGGCTCAGAGATGAAGTTCTTGGCCGAGAGCTTGTGGAAAGGGGAGATTCAAACCCAGGCGGGTCTGGCTCCAGAAGCCCTCTGTGCTTATAATAGGAACCCAGTCAAAAGCAAGGACAGTTTGTTCTTTTTGTTGCTAAACATTCCCATTTATAAAGTTTCCTTTGGAAAGAAAGTAATAAATGTGCAGTATACAGACTCTCGAAGCAACTCTCCTGCCCCCTTTTGGTCTGCACAGAGAGGGGTTGGTGAGGTGGGTGCAGAACTGTCCAGGAGGTTTGAATGCCAGCATAACTGGCTGCTGTAGACAAGCAAAGTAACCTCCCCAGATGGCTGGATTTGAACAAGTTCCTGAATTCTGCTACTCCCTTATTCAGCATCGGTGCTTGCCTTAGACCATCTGAGGTTGGATGTGAGGGCAGAGAGCCATGGCTTGGATTGGACCAGTGGTTTTGTGGGAAAAGGGGGAAGCACATTGTAAGAACATGAAAATAATTTGCCCGTGGCATTCTGATTCGAAACGGATAGGAACTCTTCTGGAAGAGAGTCCCATGGGAGCACTGGTGGGCTTAGACCTGGAAGCACAGCATAGGAAGCCTGAGAGGGAATTTCTCCAGCCAGTCTGCCAAAGAGAAATCTCTACTTTTGTGAGCATGCCAAGAAGTGGCCGCTGCTGCTTATGCCAGGTGTGAGAGCCCAGTTGGAGGCACGGACCGTCCTGCAGACCCTCAGCAGCCACGGGCATTCAGCCTGGTGCTGTGTTCATACCCTTTGATTTGAAAATTGGGGATCCTGACAGTCATAAGTCACATAGCATTTCCCCCGTTCTTCCAGTGTGTTTGTCACAGATCCTAGCATTCCTACCCAGAGCAGGGTGGGACATCACCAATTCAGAGATCAAGGTCAGGTTTACATTCCTGTGGAAAAGTGACATGATCACTTAGTGTGAACCCTTGGGTTTAAGCTCCAGCTAATGCAGTGGGGGAACCTGGGTCCCTGCCTGGCATTAAAGCACCCTAACATCGGTCTTCACAAAGGTAGAAGAATGATACAAATCTGCCGTTTGTATACAAGGCCTCAGCAGTCTGCTACCCAGTCCTTGTGTATGGTCTGGCTGCCAGTAGACATGCAGGGTGGATTCTCAGAAATCCCTGAAAAATGGAACTTGCGAGAAAACACCTTGGGTCAGGGGAGCACCCCCGTGGGCAGTTCCACACTTGTATGGTCTCCATTTCCTCCCACAGAGGAAGCGCACTTGCTAGCAGTACCACAGATCAGCTGGGCTCTTCAAGGTCCCCGGGGGGGCAGCAAGGTGACAAGGCTAGTTACTAAGGGGAATGCCCAGGGGAACAAACGAAGGAGGCCGCCGACCTGGGCTCTTGGCTTCTAGGCAGTTTCCACAGCAAATCTCCCTCCTTGCCAGTTACCTCAGCTTGGCTGTTCTTTCCCACCTAGCTTTCTGCCAGTCCCCAACACCGAGCAGAAGGGGGAAACGGGAAAGAAGCTGCAGACAAGCTTGCAAAACTTGTCTGCCCTGCCCAGCTGGAGTCTGTGGCTGCCTGTACTGCTGTCTCCACCTGGCGGATTACCTAGGTTCTACTTCCAGGCTGTTGGGGATGGCGAGACAGCTTCCTGGTCCCAGACCCCAGCCTTCCTTGAGCCGGTTCGGTGAGGCTGAGCTGCAGAATCCTGAAGGGCCTGCCCAAAAGCAAGCAGGTCTGGCCCTGAGAGGTAGAGAGGAGGGGAGGCCACAACAACTTGAGCTTCGTGCTGAAGGCCCCTTTTTAAACTTTGGCATAAAAGTCCTTTTCTCCTTAGGTTAGGGTGAGAAAACACTTCCCTGGTGAATGTTTGGAACCATGCTGAAGCCCTCACATTGGCCAACTGGCCAACACTTCAGTCAGCCATCCACCAATGTCCAGTCTAACAGCTGATGGGACTGGATCCTTTTCTGTAGAACTGGAAAGTCACCGAAGACAGCTGACCTTGAGCTTTTCCTCCCCATTAGAGAGGCACAGAAAGGAAACCAGAGGGCCCTATTTTTTATACAACAACAGAATGTCAGTACTGGCAAGAACCTTCTCCAGATGAAGAAATGGGTCCAGAGAGGGGAGGTGACCTGCCCAGGGTCTCAGGGAACTGGGAGCAGAGCCAGAGGTTCTGGCTTTGTAGCCCTGAGTTAGAAAGCATTTGATCCTCCATGAAAATAAATATTAACAGTACCACTAAGTTACCACAGTCCATGGTGGGTAGTCCTCATTCCCAGTGACTTTGCCCAAAAGGCTGTACATTTTCTAACTATAGTTTAAGTTGCTTAAAAAATTGAAAAGTCGGAATGTTCCATTTAGAATGCAGTCCCGTTAGGTGACAGGCTCCACTGCATGGCCTAAAATTAATCAATGTTTATCGGCTGCATAAAGGATGTTGTAGTGGGATGTTTTATAGAGCAGGTAAACGGAAGGGGTGGCAGCCTCGGGGAACACGTGGTGGTTCAGGGCCGTGTCCATCTCATCCACATACTCCACCTGCAGGGCGATGTTCAGTGCCTGAGACAGGGCTGTGATCTGGATGTGGTCACACTCCATGGCCATGGGCTCCACTTCCTGCAAAGGCCAAAACGAAAAAAACAAACCCAGATTAGGAAGGGGGCCTGGCAGAGGACAAATGAGAAGTCCATCCCTGGCTTTCACGGCCCTGGGTCTAAGCATCTATGCTGGGTTATCTTCACAACAGCTCCTCAGGTGGGTACTGCCATGCCTAGTTTCTAGAAAAGGAAACTGAGGAAGAGCAGCCAGAAACCCAGCAGAACTGCAAGGCTTGAATCTGGATCTTTTAGATTCCAGACTCTAGTGGTATGTGAGAAGAGAACACTACTTTGAAGAATCGGGATGGAGGTAGACAAGAATTTTTGAGCTTTGGCTTGGTAATGCACAGAACCAAAGAATTTCAGCAGACAAGGACGGTCATGAAGGGATTTCACAGAGGGCTAGGCGAGTGAGTGAGTCTGAATGCTGAAGAGGCCACAGAGAGGCAGAGATGCTGGCAGGCTGGCAAGTTTGTCCCACCTAACAGGGGCGGCTGCCACTCCACTCCTGCTGGTTGCGGCCATGCAGAATAAGGCCCTGGGAGCTGGATTCCGAGAGAAATCAGAGTCAAGAGAGCTGCCCAGGGATTAAATGTTGGCAGATCCGTTTAGATAAATACCGTCCATCACAAACAAAACACATCTTAAGACACATGTGACTCGGGGGCTGCTGCTCTCCAATTCTGTAAACAGGGCAGTCCAAGGCCCTCGGTTCTCACATGGGAAATCCGAGGCCTGGGTGGGGGAAGTACTTGCCCAGAGCCATAGTTCAGGCAGTGTAAGTAGGATCTGTTTCTGGCTTGCTAATCTTGTTCTTCCAATTACAAATGCAGATGCGACATGAAGTCCCCTGGCTAGGGATGATGGCACTCAAGTCTCCTGAGGGGAGAGGGGCTTTCACAGCACTTCCGCACGGCCCACACGCTGACTGCCTTGTCCTCCCCAGTGTGTACAATCGCACGAGCTGGGTATTCCACAGCAGGTCCCAGGGCTGTGGGCCGAGTCCCCAGAGCTCGAGACCCTGAGGACCTACCTGAGTACAGAAATCCTTGATGTCCATCTCCTCATCAATGAAGTGTCGGAAGAATTCCGCGCGGTTCTTGATGAAGGCGGAGGTGAGCAGGCGCAGAAACTGCACGATCTGGTCCGAGGCGCTCTGGTCGTTGAACGCCTTCAGCAGGCTGCGCGCTGAGCCGTCCTTCTCCACCAGCTCCACCGCGCTGTAAAACTGGACCCCGCCGGGCTGTCAGCTGGGAGACACAGGCAGGACCCACCCTCCCCCACGGGACTCTCTGCCTAGGGCCCCCCCCCCCACCATGTGTATTTCCATTTCTAAATCCTCAAATTGAGTTACCAAAGTCAGTCTGGGACCAAAGCTAAGTAGAGGGTTGGAAATGCCCTGCAGTGTGTACCTTAGCCCAGAGTCCTGTCTAGGGGACAGTGGTTGGGTCTCCTCCCGTCACTGTGGTGACTGGGATTCTTATGTATAATCCTCCAACCCCGCCCCCTTTACTAAAGGAGTAGGGTGGAGAGGGAAGGGGGGCGGAATGTTTCCAGCCTGAGAGCTACTGCCCCAAAGGAGGTACTTCCTCCCTATAGGAGGGCAGGGCCCTGGATTCCCTGTCCCAACACGCAGAAAGCAGCTGTCCTCCAGCTGGGAGGAGCAGGGACACAACTGCGGAGCCATGGGCTGTGGGGGGCTCCAGCCACTGCCCATTCCTCTCTGCTCTGCCAACATAGAAGCACCTAGACCCTCAGCCATCCTGCCCAGGTTAACTTACAGCATTAAAGAAGTTTCGGAACTTGTGCTCCTCAAACCCAGCAGCCAGAAGGTCATTTGGGGTCTGCAGGACACGTTCTTTGAACCTACAGGGGTTAGACGGATGGCTTATGGGGAAGTGATGATGGAACACTGCTGTGACAATGTCTTCCCACTCTCACCCAATTCTCCCAACACCTGAGGAGGGGTGTGTCACTAACGGGAGAAGGCAGTCCCTGTTAGTGACACACCCCTCCTCAGCTGCCTTCTCCCTTTCAGAGCACTTCCACGCCACGGTCTGGGTAACACACGGAGTTCTGTCCTCCCCAGCATATACAGTACCCATTTCACAGATTAGGAGATTGAGGTAGTCACTACCCACTCCCAGACATGTTGCTTCTAGCTTCCAAAGCTTCCTGAACTCTGTCTCTCCTTCCTGTCCCCATAGTTCTTGCCATATGACCACCATCTCTGGCCAGGGCCATGCCCAATCTTCCCGTGCTCCCAGTCCCTTCACAGGGACCTCCGGAGTGACCTAGGACAGCCTTCTCCCACAGGACACAGCTCCTCAGCACAAATGTCCAAGGGAGGACCCCAGCCTAACTCCCCAACCTCCTCTCCCTTCTCAACTTCCTTCCCACCCTAGGGCCACTCGCCATTTGCATTGCATTTCCTGGCACCCTGTTCCATCAACCAGCGGCCTATACTTACTCACAAGAGCTAATTGTTCGGTTTTCAAGATTTTTTCAGCCAGGTGTTAAAGATAAACATTACTTAAAGTATACTATAACACAAAGGTAAATATTCAAAACTCAGTTTCCTAATTATTTCTGCCCTTGAGGTGCTGTTTGTTGTGTGTGGTGGTGGAGATAGGTCTGGGCTGTGGGATGTGTTTATCTCTTCCTTGCTCCCCGCTCGTGACCCCGTGGTAGTAGCCTGAAAACCAGTCACAAAAGGAGTATTTATACCACAGAAAGGGTTAACACCACCAGTCAGGCCTCCGTGCCCCACAGCTCTGAAAGCTTTGTCGGCGCTGGCCACCTTTTAAACCCGGTCCAATGGCCCTTGCTCTGTCAGTGCTGGCTCATCCCTCTCTGCTCCCCGGCAGGCCCCTCTCAGTGCCTCCCCCTTCCGAGACCAGCCCGGCACTTGGGGGCATGGTGAGGAGCAGCAGCAGACATGAGGTACGGAACAAGCGACTGGTCCTTGGAGGGACGGGAACAGCCCGTGCTAGAGGAACCAAGCAGGAGGCTCTGGGGGGCGCCCAGCTGCCGCTGGCTGTAGTGCAGTCTATCCCCTGGGAACGGAGGCTGGCCTCCCAATGGGACAGGAAGGGGGTTTTCACAAGGGACTAAAGGCCTGAGGGGGAGGCTCAGTGTTCTTGTTGCAGGGGAGGGGGCAGAGAGGAGAGGGGTGGCATGTGTGGAGCGCAAACATCTAAACCAGGAGGAGGAGGTCTGTGCTGTCTAGAGTGGGTGGGGGGGACCCCCTGTGCTGGCAGTTTGCAGCCCTGCTGTTCAGCTGCCCTTGGGCTTTAGTCCCCCCCACCTTACCCTCCCTGAACCCCAGCTGCATTCCCACATTGATTGCTCACCTATGACTGCTGACCCCTGTACCGAGGACTGATGAGTGCCACACAGGCCCAGCCAAGACCAGGCCAGGACTCCCACCCAGCAAGATGAGTGCGGGGAAGGAGGACGGCCCTGGGACTTGGGCGAGGCTCTCTCTGCAGCACCGCCAGCTTCACTGTGACCTTGGGCAAGGCTTGTAACCTTCCCAAGGCTCTCTGTACTCAACTGTAAAATGGGGTACCACCACCCTGAACATCTTACTGCCCAGTGGACACTCCTGCGGGAAGGCTCGCAGACATTCTGGACTCAGCATCACCAAAACGGAGCTCCCAATCTTCCCAGTCCCCCTCTGCAACAAGTGGCTTTTCCATCCTGAGAACACTTTGGCAACACACTTAGCCGTCATCCTGGACTCCTCTCAGCTCGCGCACCCCACCTAACCATGAGCAAGTCCTGTTGACTACAGGAATCTGGAATCCAGCCCATCCCCTCCGTCCTCCCAAGCTGCCCACTATCCTCTCCCTTCTCCGAGCACATCCCCTGCTGTGCCCTCCCAGTCTGTCCTGTGGATAGTGGCCAGCAGGCCAGGCGATGCTCTGTTCAGACCCTTAGAGGATCCATCTCTTTCAGGCTGAAATTCAGGGTCTTTATAGAGGCCCATGAGGCACTCCCCACTTACCTCCAACCCCTACTTAAAACTGTAGCACCCCCCGCCTCCATCCTAACAACTTTGCCACCTTCCCCATCTGGTTTTTGTCTTCAACACTTCTTGCCATCTGACATCACATGCGGTCTGTTTTCTCCTGCTAGCGTGCCTGCTCCAGAGGCAGGAAGTTTCTCTCTTGTTCTCTGCTGCATCCCCAAGGCCTACAGTGGGGTCTGTGTGTGGGGTCCTGTAGGTGATGACTGCAGGGAGGGAGGGTGCCCTGGAAGGAGTGCAAGGGTGAAGCCCAGCATTCAGGGCTGGGCTTTGCGAGCATCACCTTGCTGAGTCCTCCAAACACCCTGAGTATGCAGGGTTACCCACGTTCCGCAAATGTGGAAACTGAGGCTTAGAGAGCTGTGGTTACTTGCCCAAAGTCACACAGACACAGCAAGTAAGGTAGAGTGGACCCTGGACCTCAGCATGGCACAGCTCTGGGGGACACAGTGGGAAAAAAGCCCTGCACTGGACTGCAAAGTCTTGACCTTGCAGAGCTGGGGGGAGATGGAGGAGGAAAGTGACTTGAGATAGGGGACTCCATCAAAAGGGACTCAGTCAGTCTGTCCAAGAATGACTCATTCCAAATAAAGAACAGTGGCCTAATTTCTATTCCTTTTGAGGGAATCTGTATTTTGACCAGGAGATGATTATCTTAACCTAGCCATTCTCAATCAGGGTTGACTTTGCCACAACCAAAGAGGTTTCTGATGGAATCTGGAGACATTTTTGATGGTCATGGCTTGGGGAGGAAGGTGCTTTAGGGGCATCTAGCGGGTGGATGCAAGGGACACTACTAACCACCCTATACTGCCCAGGACCGACCCACAACAAGAATGATCGAGCCCAAAATACCAGAATAGTGCTGCTGTTGAGAAAGCTGCCCTCACAAAGCAGGTCTGACACCAAGGTCCAAGGATCAAGCCTGAGTACTCTGACCTACGGCCACTCTGTTCCTGTGTGTGGTGGGGGAATGGGGAGGGCTTCATCTGATCCTCTCAGGGCAGTGAGAGCTCCAAAATCAAGAAGTAGGTCTTTCAGCTCCTTGCTGTGTTCTGAGACCTGGCAACATCTCCCGGGAGTTGGGGAGAAACAGAAGCCTGCCCTAGACAGACCGAATTGGTACCACGTTCAAAAGGTCCAGGCAGTTTGAGCAAATGGTGACGCAATAGAGGCCCTGACTTGAGCCTATACAAAGGTCTAAAGGGTCGCTCTTGGGAACAGCTGCTGGACAGAGACCTTCCTCAGCATCGGGTCAGGACCCAAGGCCTGACTAGGTAGATACCTGGCTACACACCTTTCAGAACAGGGGCAGCTGAAATCACTCAGCATAGGCAAAGCATTGTTTTTTCTCTTGGAGTGAGTCTTCAGAGGCAAGCAGTGCGACCCACCTAAGCGAACTTAAGTCACTGGTTCCACCCGGACCGCATGGCTGCCCCACCCCGCCCCCACGGCAGCTCACTCCCCAGGTTTGGCAGGCCTGTGCCTAGGAAACCCCATCAGGGAGACCCAGGGCACCCAAGCCTACCCGGCAGTCCCTTACGTCCACTCACTTGAGGACCTCCCTGCTCTTCCCCAGCAGGGACTCCAGGTAGGAGTAGCCCAAGGCCCGGTAGAAGCAGTTCCCATCCCCCTTGGTCTTGCGGATCGCGGTGAACCTTTTGCTGAGTTCCTGTGGGGCAGAGAAGGAAGTGTGGACGTCTGCAGCACCATCACCCGTCGTGTCGTGTCCTGTGGGGGGGCCAGGGCCCCTACCTCCCCCAGGTGGCACCTGCTGCCGCCTCTCAGAGCCTTCACAGTCTCCCAGCTGTCCTCCATCACGCGGAAAACCACGCTGAGCCGGTCCTTGTGGCAGGCACCGAGGGATGAACGGGTCATGGCCCACCCTCTGGCAGCCTACAGTCTGGGGAAGATGGACCATTACACAACTATGACAGGACAGGGGAAACACGGGGGTGCCTCGGAGCAGTGGCATCAGAAGTCTAGGAAGGCTTCCTGGAGGAGTAGCACTGAGAGGAGCAGAAGTGGTATGCATGGCACAGGGAAGGCACAGCTAAGCAAAGCCCTTGGGGGTGGGTTGGGGTGTAGCTGAGCAGGGAGCCAGGAGTCTGCAGAGTTCGTAGAAGAGGCCGCCTCAGACATAACGAAGCAGTCTGGCCAGTCCTTCAAACATGTCTCAAAAGGTGTGGCCCTCCCCAGGCCACCCACTTCCAGCTCTGCTCTGAGCTGCCCATTTCCCTCTGAAATGTCCTGGAGTCTCCTTGGGTGCCTCCTGGAGCTACAAGCAAGGTTTTGATAGCAAAGCACGGTCTTCAAGGTGTCGGGGAGTCCCTGCTCCCACCACAGCAGTGAGAAGGCTTGGGGTTGATGGGGCCCCTCTCAGCCCCGCGGGGAAGGTCATGCTCCGTGAGATCCGCATCTCCTCTCCCGAGAGGGCTTCAGGGTACACAAGTCCCTGCGGCTGCAGGAGACCGTCCTCCCAGTGAGCAGAGGGAAGCAGAAGCGTGCTGCCCCAGAGGTGGACAGAGCCTAGGCTGCTGCTCCTGCCCTGGTTTTGTGAGCTGTGCCCCTGCACGCTTCTGGCAAACTCCCCTTCTGCAAAGGCCAACTGGAGTGGCCCTTTGCTGCTGAGATGCCCTAGCACTGTGGTTATGGATGCAGCTTACGAGATCTGGCTTCCTTGTCCGAGTCCCACCTTCTCCACTGACGAGCTGGAGGACTGTGGGCCTGCCATTTAACATCTGTGCTTCCCTTTCCTCAGCTGTGAAATGTGGATAATAAAAGTACTGGCTTTGCAACATAATGGCTCAGTAAATAAAGCACTTAGGATAGTACCTAGCTTTTAAAAAAATTTAAAAATTGCTGTATATATTGCAACCAAAAGATTTCTCACTGAGGCAAATGCCCAGCATCAAAATATTCTGGGAGCCCTTGAATTTGCCTGGGAGCCTGGCCCCAAGGCTAGGACATTCTGCTTTCAAAGTGGCACCTCGGACTCCAATCCCAGCTCCAGCACATTAGCTCTAAGATCCTCTCCCCTGCAAACCTCTGTCTCACCTGGATTTTCCTCTGGTAAATCCTGTTTTCAGGATGATCCCGAAGAATTGATAGAATGTCACATTTTTCTGATATTAGGTTGAAAGATGTTTCACTCTGAAAAGGAAGCAAAGCTGTGACAATTTCAAAGCCACGGATAGGCTTTCACCACGTAGCTCCATAACATAGGGAATGGGACCTTGCCACAAAAGGCACGTTACCAGTTATCTTGGATGTCAGTTCCCTGGACAGGGAGTCACGGTCTGCTCCATCCTGTACGGTGTCCTGTAACTTCCGAATGGATTCGTTTTAGAGTATAATCCCTTGACTTAGTGAGCCTTCATGCTGGAGTATGAGCTCTCCCCTTGTCACCTGTCCTTCTTGTCTCACTCATTCATTCTTTCATTCACCACCAATTCCTGAACATCCAGCCTGCACTAAGCACTGTGGGATAAGCTGGAAGTAAGAGGTTAGAACATCCGGCGGGTGTTCTAGCTGCAGCACCACCTACCGGCGCAAGTCCATACTGCAGCCCAGTTGGAGTCTGGTCAGTTCCAACCCAGAGATCAGCTTCCTGGCCCAGAGGCAGGGCTCTGGCGGGCTGAGAAGAAATCCACAGGGAGCAGGTAATGGCAGGAGGCGGCTTCGGAGCCAGGGAAAGTGCAGGAGGCATCTCTGTTCTAATAGTCAATTCCCTGCAGCCGCCTCTCAGCCTCAAGCTGTTTCTGCCCAGACTCTGCCCAGAGAAGTGGCAGATGCACCCCTGCCTCCAACCCATCCCTAGACGTGCTCTGATTCCAGCATGAAAATAATGTGCGAGGAATCAGTATTAAAGCTAATGACCCAGGTCATTTACTTTAAGAGAAGTGGCCCTGGTGCCCCATGTTCAAGGGGACAGTTTCACAATACCATACAAGTGACCAGAGTTGGCCAACCAGATCATGACAAGTATTCTGGGGAGCTGAGGGAAGGCTTTTGGTTTTGGATAAAAAGAGCAGACAGCATGTCCTGCTCGTTCCTCCTCCCTGCTTCAATGCCTTCAGTGCAGATGCAGTGTCTACATTACAGCGGCCATCCTGTGACCATGACGCTGAAAGCTAGTATGTGGGAAATGGTTGGATGATCTGCTGCTATGCTAAGTCCAAGATGTAGAGAATAACAGATGCCATGATTGTGCATCTATGATGTGCCAAGCTCTGGGCAGAGACATACATATCCCCATTATCTCATTTATTCCCCACTAGCAATTATACCACTCTACTGACAACGTCAAGTTCCTTGGGCCAGGAAGTGATTTAATCCAGTTCTGGCTCTGAAACCCATGGGAATTCTACCAAGCCAAACTGCTAGGCAAACAGAGCTCAGAGTCTAGCTCGTGAGGGAACAAAGCTGCTAGACCTTACAGGAACACTGTGTACAGGGCAGACTAGGGCCTCTGCATCATCAGGCGAGGTCCTAACCTCCCACACCTGTGGTCCCAGCCAGGCAGACAGCCTAGCTCTCTACCCAGCTCAGTGCCCAGAGCAGTGTCCCCAGTCTGAAGACACTTGTTACAGAGGGAACAAAAGATTTATAGGTGATGCCTGGACATGTTAAAAGACAGGACATCTGGAGGAAAAGTTGTTCTCTTTTCAGTTTTCCTTCAATTTTTATAATAATCATGCCAAGGAGAAAGGCAGCTTCCAACATACCTTTAAATCCTTTCCACTCTGCTAGTGTCTTTTGGCCAGTGAGCAGGGAGCCTAAAAGTGTTCCATTTTCTTTAAGCTCTACACCCAACATGGGACTTGAATTCATGACCCAGAGATCAAGAGTCACAGCTTTACTGAGCCATCCAGGTGCCCCAAAGGGTTCCATTTTCATTTGCAGTACTTTTTAAATGTAAAACAAGTTAGCTTTGGGGGACACCCAGCTGGCTCAGCCAGTAGAGCTGCGACTCTTGATCTCTGGGTCAGGAGTTCAAACCCCCCATTGGGCACAGAGCTTAATTCAAAACAAAACAAAACAAAAAAGCCTGTATTATTGACTTGGTTGGCATTTTTATGAGATGTGAACATGTTTTGATCTATTCTAAATCATGGAAGAGTTCCATTATTGGCATAACAACTGTTGCTGTGCGGTTCGTTTTGCACTCCTACTACTCTGTGCTAAAAAAGGACCCTGTAAGTTTCAGAATAAAAAATCCGCTTCTGCTGCTTTGAGGGAAAAGCAAGGTGACCCTCAGGTAGGTTTCAACACAGCTGGCATGCCCGCCCTACAGCACCCTCTCCCTCACACTCTCGCTTCATTCCAGACTCCCATTACCCAGCTCACTAACAAAAGGCTTGTTTCTATAGACCGCAGACTTAAAGCGTTGGCTCGGGTCTTCCTAAACATGGATTTAAAAGCAGTACCACTGGGTTCCTGGGTGGCTCAGTGGGTTGGGCCTCTGCCTTCGGCCCAGGTCGTGATCTCGGGGTCCTGGGATCGAGTCCTGTGTCGGGCTCGCTGCTCAGCGGGGAGCCTGCTTCTCCCCCATCTCTCTCTGCCCACTTGTCATCTCTCCCTGTCAAATAAATAAAATCTTAAAAAAAAAAAAAAAAAAAAAAGGCAGTACCACTGGTATTTAGTGCTGCTTCTGCCTGGCCTGCCCCAAGCAAAAGCCCAGCAGACAACAGGTGGAATGTGTAGTTGGCTGTATTCAGTTGTTTCTGAGAGGATAGTGATGGATGCGTGGAAAGGAATAACAATGTAAAGATAAATAATGAAGATGGTAGCAAAGTGCCATCAACAGTCAAAATGAAAATATAGCACTGGATCAGGGAAAGGGACGCACACCCTGGACCAGGAAAGCTGATCCAGGTTTTCCCACTGGCCATAATATAAACTTGGCCTGTGGGGCAAATTTCCTTAGGCTATTGAATTTAAAAGAAAAATATTAAATAGCAATTTGGGGCACCTCTTAGCCGCTGAGGATGGAGCCCATCACATTCGGGATTTGAAAGCCCCACTGTCAACACTGGCTTCCCCTTCGTCCATGTTCCCATGCCCTCCTCAGAGGTAGTTCCTCTGGCACGTTTCAATAAGTACCTTTTTTTTTTTTTTTTTTTTTT